AAATAAATTACATTTTAATGTATATTAAAATAGAAAAACGTTATTTAACATCATAATAATATTTCACAATATTAAATTTTTTCCTGTATTTCTGATCAAATAAATGCAGCCTTGATGAGCAGAAGAAACTCCTGTAAAAACATTAAAAATCATTCTGATCCCAAACTTTTGACTGGTAGTGTATATATTCATTTGTTTTTGAAATATAGACATTTAAACAGTGGCTGTAATAAAAACATGACAAATCTACATTAATGAATATTAATGTTATATAATGCATATATTGTTCAAAATGCTCCTCTCTAGAGGTATTTTTCTAACTGACTAATGAGTTTATGGTTTATGGATGAGGTGAATGTGACATTTGAACTTGGATTTATTTTATGTTGCATTTTCATTTGAATGAAAACTCTGAAGCTGTAGGCAGATGCATTCTGTCAGTCATGTGAGATCTCTTCTGATTGGTCGAGAGAGACCAGAGGGCTGCAAACTCAGTGTGAGCTCTTAACCTTTGACCCTGAATGATCTTCACGCAGAGGAATCATCTAGAAGTCTGATGGAAAGTCGCTCAGCTGTTCTTCACACTCGGTGTGCATGAATGAAGCCTGTGACCTCTGACCCTGACCGCTGACTTTATACCACATTCTAACTTACTGCTGTTCTCTAAGCAGGGTTATTATCGTTAGCTAAAACTAATACCATGAAAACATTTACTTGAAATAAAATATTTTAAAAAACATATAATATAAAAATTAAAATAAAATGATGTACTAAAATAACTATTATAAAACGGATAGTTCCGGTGCTTGATTCTGATTGGCTGAGCCACGTTCGAAGCTGTTGTAAATGACTCTACAAAGTAACATACAACTTTGTTTACATTTGTGTGTTGCTCGGCAACCACTTTGTAGCAACCACAACTGTTTCTGAGGAGCTACATTGTTTGGTGGAAGAATACTGTTTTTATTAATATCATTACACTTTATTTGCTCTGTTTTATTTTGTGAAACCTTACTACGTATATGTGAATAACTGTTTTATAAAAGCAATAAGCCCCGTGAAGCCGTGGTTTACAATAACGCCCCTTAGCTGTTATAAATTCACTGTAAACACACCTTTGTTTACGTTTGTCTGTTGCTCGGCAACCACTTTGTTGCAACCACAACTGTTTCTGAGGAGCTACATTGTTTGGTGGAAGAATACTGTTTTTATTAATATCATTACACTTTATTTGCTCTGTTTTATTTTGTGAAACCTTACTACGTATATGTGAATAACTGTTTTATAAAAGCAATAACCCCCGTGAAGCCGTGGTTTACAGTGAATTTATAACAGCTAAGGGGGTTTAGCTCCGCTTCGCGTCGTACCTAACAACGCTGTTATAAATTCACTGTAAACGACGGCTTCTTGGGGCTTATTGCTTTAGTATAAAAGTAAAAATATATTGTGTATTCAAGTTCAGCGTGTGCTCGTTTTCGCTCTCTGTGTGTTACTTTCTTATCACGTCCTTCTGAAAATATCTCATTTCACATGTGCGTCTCACAGGTCAGCGGGTCACACACACAAGCGCGTGACGGAGAATCTGGCCGTGACGTTTTACGTGAACGAGCGTTTCTCTCAGGACTACAGCGGTGCGAGTCTGAAACGGGTGGAGAGCAGCGTGGAGGACGACTACATCTCCAACCTCAGGAACAACTGCTGGAAAGAGAAACAACAGAGTACGTGACACACACACATGCACACTCTCACACACTCTCACACACTCACACACACACACACACACACTCTCACACACA